GCCGGTTGACAATGTACCCTAGGAACTTGCCCGAGGTGACACCGAAGACACATTTGTTAGGGTTCAGTTTCATGCTAAATTGACGCAAGATTTGGAAGACAGAATCTAAATCTTGTTTTAATTCCTGTGAAAACTACGTCTTGACGACCATGTCGTCTACATAACATTCTATCTTCGTGCCAATCAAGAGTTGAAGCAACCTATTTACAAGTCTTTGGAAGGTTGCCCTGACATTTTTTAATCCGAAGGGCATGGCCTTGTAGCAGTACAGGCCGAACTCAGTTATGAAGCTGGTTTTTTCCTCATCGAACTGGTCCATCCTGATTTGGTTGTAGCCCGAGTAGGTGTCTAGGAAGCTTAGCAACTCATGTCCCGAGGTCGTGTCCACTAGGCGGTCAATTCTGGGGAGGGGGAAGCAATCTTTCGGGCAAGCTCGGTTTAGGTCAGTGTAGTCGACGCACATGCGCCACTTGCCGTTTGCCTTTTTCACCAGCACTGGGTTGGCTACCCAGCTCGGGTAATGGACTTCCCTTATGAAATCTGCTGCGAGGAGCTTTTCGACCTCYTCRTCGACCGCCCTCCAGCGCTCTGGGGCTAAGTTGCGTTTCTTCTGTCTAACGGGTCTGACAGTTCGGTTTGTAGTGGTTCCTTGACGGAAGCACCGATCTGTAGTGTGCGAGCTGGGTCTGTAGCCGAAGTCGGGACTGTGACCGTTTCCTCTATGGGCGAAGCTCGTTCCTCGCCTTGCTCCGTAGGTCGCTCCAGTTCAAGGTCGTCAGCCACCTTGGTTTTTCCGTTCAGGGTGGCAACATAACACTTACGGGACTCGAGCTGGTCACCCCGCGCTACCCCCACACCGAAGTCTGTAGGGAACTTCATTGCCAAATAGTATGTGGAGACCACTGCCCGCAGGATATGCGTAATTGGCCGCCCTATTATGGCATTGTATGGGGAGGGGGTCGCGACCACCAGAAAATCATGGTTGAGTCTGACCGCACAAGGTCATGTGCTGATTCCACAGGTACTATTATTTTTCCGAGGGGCCTGACTTCCTCTCCGCTGAAACCCACCATAGGAGTGTTCGCAGGCTTCAGCTCGCTCCTCTATAACTGTAGCTGGTCAAATGCTGACTTGAAGAGGATGTCCGCTGAGCTGCCCGAATCGACGAGTACGCGCCGGACCTTGAAGTCGCTGATCCTTAGTTTAATGACAAGCGCGTCATCGTGGGGGTAGTGGACCCCTCGCGCATCGTCTTTCGTGAAGAAGATCGACTCTTCAGTCTTGGGTCTTTCTGGGGGGTTCTGTTCCTCGAGGGTCGCTTTGCGAACTGACGTCCGGGCCGCTGCCGAAGTACACCCTGCTACCACCGAACCTCCCACAATTACATGGATGGTTCCCCGAACCGGCCTTTCTTCCGGAGGCTGTCACTGCAACGGTTCGGCTGGTCTACTGCTAGATTCGGGGGCATCCTTTCCGTGCTCCCCTTGCCGACCTACCTTGTTGTTGTTATTATTGTCATGCTGTACAAAATTCCTTAAGTATCCGCGACGGATGAGTCCCTCTATCTCATTCCGGAGATTATTACTGTTCGGTACTATGACCGTGGTCCCTATGGAAACTACAGTACGAATTCTTATTTCTCTCGTTCGAATTTCCCTTTAGGCGAGGTGGCCACTTTACGTATGGGGCGTCCTTGATCGTCATTAAGATCTCGGTCCGCCTCGTGTTTAACGGCGTGTAATCCGTTCGAACTGCTAAGGGAGCTCAGAACGACTGGTTCCCGGGTCGGGTTTTTTCTGTCGACTGGGTTGGAGGGCTTGCCTTCCCTCTTTCTTTTCTCGTTCCCGCTTTCGGTTCGTTGGTTCATTTCTTTCTCTGTTCTCATGAACTTATCCGCGAGCTTGAGGAATTTGACCACGGTTGATGGTGTGCACTCCGGCTGGTCCTAGCTGTCAACGACCTTGCCTCTGAACGGAGCCACAGGGAGCCTGAAACAGAGAAGATGAGGAAGCTTCGGGAGGAACCCGGTATGAATGCTTCGAAGCTCAAGTTAGAATTCTTTAAAAGGCAAGATAAAACCAGATGGCGCAAAATTCACGTACCTTGTTCTTGGGGGTAGGGAGCCTTTTATAGCCACCTCGTGCACTTACTCCTAAGCTTCTGTCAGGTCGGGTACGATTACCTCTGGTCTCCTGCCAGTTCGGGTGTCATCCCCTCTGCTGGTCAGAACCGCCACTGCTCCCTTTTGTCGGAGCCGTCT